GCTCCAACTGAGCTTGTATTATGCAATTCCGGAAAGCGTGCTTTACCTTATCGGAGATAGACGGTAGACATAATGGGATTCTGGTACGAGCTCGGCTATCATCATTATTTGCGTTGTTTTTGAAATGTCTAGACTTTAATGAGAAGTAGCCATTGAAAGCTGCTATCTCATTTGCCAGTTCGAGGGATTCCAGTCGTTCACTCTCACCGCTGCAGACTTCTCTTGCCGTTTTATACATGTTCCGCGCACTGCTTGTTTTACGGCCATCGGATGGGCTGATTTCGCGTGTATGATGATATTCTTGGAGCTCTCTTTGCGATACCATTTTACTCGCATCGTACCGTTACTTAACATTGGCTGGGTGTTCAAGTACGGTAGCCAACCGTTTCGGGGAGCTTCTCTAGTAAAACTTGTGTACCGTGATTGATTTAAAATCTTGAAACACTCACCCATTTCGGACTGTGTTTATGTTATAATGCAACAATCATCAATATATCGGCAGTACATAAGTGGGCATCGTAATAGCACCGGTCTTTCTATTCTGCTCATGAAGCAGATGGCTAGTGTAGGTGCTAATCTTTGGCCCACTGCCAACCCTCTTAACTGTGAATAGTATGTACCAGACCACTTGAAGATATTACAGTTAAGACTTTCCTTGATTACAGTCATTATACCCGCTTTACTGAGCCCATACATCGAAATGGTATTACCATGTGCATTAAACAGCTCAGAAAGCGCTTGTAAAGCGTCACCGTTGGACAGGTTCGTGTAGAGTGACATTACATCGAATGACTCTATTGCACAGCTCTGGTCGAATTGAGCATGGTGCGGTCGATCAAGAAAATGTCTGGTATTCGTCAAATGGGCCGGTATTTTGTCGAGAAATTGGGTTGCAATTTTACCTAAGAACCATGATATCCTATCGGTTGGTCTATTTATACAGCTAATGATCGGTCGAATCTTGTAGAACGAGGCCGACACGGAGCTAATGTCACGCTCAGAGAGCTTATGCGTTTTCACAAGGCTGTAAAATAAGAACAGCACGGATTGTCAAGTTTAAGTTTGCTGAACTTTTTAAGGCCAGCTTCCTTAGCAAGCATCATCCATACGTGATTCAAGCGCTTGCATTGAGAAAGAAATTCTTTCTCATTCGTGCGGCGATAAATGGTCTCGTCTGAGAGATGGCGCTTGGTAATCTCACGGTCCAGTTGTTGAGACATAACAACGAACTCTCCATCTTTATCGCTAGTAGAGAGGCGGATGATCCCTCTTCCAATCAATCCTCACGATTCTCTGAATCCAAGCCACTGCACATGGGTCAAATTAGTCTGTTTGATGTTCTTGTTTTTGTTCAAGACATTCAGTATGCTTCCGAAATTTGACGTCTGCGGTGCAGCAAGGTTCAGGTTCTTTGTAAAAGGATGACGGGAAGGGAATAAGCGGTAGCAACCTTCTACTTAATACGTTGGCTCGCTGTAACTGCTCTTCAGATCTCAACTTCACTCGAAGCTGGTCCCTCAGATGTTGCAGGGATTCAAACACAACTCGGTATGTGCTCGCGCTGGTGTTATGAGCGAGCGCAAAGCTAGGTCCAAGAGCTAAAAACTCTGTAGCGCTTTTTGATATCCGAACATCTCCTAACACAGTAACTATAGCCATTCTATCATTATCAGTTTCATTCTGAGTCGCAAGCGATTGGGACCGGTTATGAGGTATGTCACCGCAAGTAAATACTAGGACTCAGACTAGGTTTACTCACAAGTTCCTCGAACTTCTTGCCTAGTGAAGATTTGAGGTTAGACCGTACAGTAGTGCAAACACGTTTTGACTCGCTCTCAATTCTCCTCCAGCTGTTTTCACATATGAGACGTGGGCATGCTTCTCCTTTTGCTCTAGATCTGAGTAGAGAAGAGTGTAGGACGTGTTGCTTTTGCTTGATTGCAATAGAGGATGTTTGAATACAGCTTCTGTACGATAGGGTCACTTTCTGGTAAGCTGCAGGTTACTCCTAACTTCTTCTTCGCGATAAAGTTGGGTAGCACTCCAGACGTCTTGCATCGCTTGAAAAATATGAGAGATTGACGTGCGACGGCTATCTTTTGTCGGAGCGCCAAAGCTCCGCTTAAAAGTGAGAACGATTTGGCGGTGTCATGACTTCATGAATTCAAACAATGCCCAGCTTACATGATCAGAGAACATATAGAATAGAATATTTTCCTTCACCGCATGAGCTGCGGCACATCCAAACATACGCGGCATGCCTGCCCGCTCGCTCTCCTCCAATCCGGCGTGTAAAGCACTTGTGCGTTATTTGTGTCTGCCTAGCCAAATAGCGCACTTTCAAATCAGCCGCTCGACCGATTTTTTGTTCGAGTTGATGACTGCATACCCGAGACATACACCCTTCGATAGCGCAGTACAGTAAACTCAGTGTGTAGATACAAACAATCAAATTTTCTAATAGATAGCGAAAATTGCAATCGTACTTACGAACTTTTTTTACAACTACCTCACCATATTCCTACAAATGATACTGTCACTACAGAGACCATTACTAAACCTGTGCTCCACAGAAACAATGCAGATTATGGTGAGTAGAATTCGGGAGGACACGCCTGTTCCAGAGTTCATTAGCCATCCTACCTCTTTTAAAAAGAGTCGGCTCTTTAACGCTTGGCAATCTATGGTAACAGCACTATCGAGTAGTGCTTACTAAAATCTTCTACGCATGACGTTGCGTTATACCCTTGCAAAGGTCCGCAGGAGAATTCGATGAAATTGAAAAGGAATGTCAAATCAATGCGATAAAGCAAAAGATTTGCCTCGATAAGCTAAGCAATGTTTGTTCCAGATTCAAAAAACAAACACACGTTCCAAAGGAAGTTAAGGCGCTGCATAGCTGGCGTGATCGCGCGATCGCGGAATGCTGCAGACAATAACGAATTTCTCGGAATTTAGCACGTTTGCCAGAGCTATTGTAAATATGCCGCAAACAGATCTAACCAGTTGCTTTCATTCTGGAGATGCTTGGTGAGCATAGCATTGTGAACTTAGCATAGTGTCAAAACAGTATCTAATACACGAATGGCAAAACTGTGGGACAAATGCTGCTTTGAATATAACTAAAGCACAGTTTACTCAATTTGCACTGGTTTCGCTGCACAAGCCTGAAATTTTAGCAAATAATAAGGGCTTAAATCCCTACGAAAAGTGTTTAGCAAGACTTTTTTGGCTTTGGCTACTGCTCTAAAAAACCCCAGGTTACATGAAATCGGAGATGTACTTGTAATTCATTCAGCTACCCTTTTTATTGAACCTTATGAATAGTCAAAATGAAACACCAGAACACAAATAAGGTTACTTCTTCGACTATGACGTTTTTCAAGACATTTTTTAATACGACTTACTCGCTCATTTGCCATGCTAATTTTGAATTTGACAATTCGTGGAAAAACATTTTTTGACTGAAACAAGTACATTTTGACTCGCACTTACTAGAGGAAGGCTCTACAGGCTATAGCAAAACAGAATTTTTTGAAAAGTTATCTCATCAGCAATGGAACAATCAGCGCCAAACACACACTACTCAAATTGGTTTGAAATTTTTTGCTTTCTCAAACGGTCGAATGTGCTTTGTGACCGCTAAAGGTTTTAGTTTTCGTATAAAATTGTAGCACGGTTTTTTTGCAGCGACAGTGTGCCTAATGATCGACTCATGCATAAACTCTATGAAAAGTACGTCTGAATCAGCGGTTAGGCTAATCTCTATTGTTCGCAATGCCCAACACCTGAATTCAATGTCTGCGCTCTTATCTTATCTGTTGAGAATGGTTTTGCGCGAGGTTTAGTCTTATCGCTCTTTTTTTGTTAGCGCACTTAGCGCCTAGTCTATTCTATTGCCCCTCATCAAATCATTGCGCGTTTCAAATAATTTGCTCTATACTATGAACAGTGAAGCTAAACGTCAGATCTACTTTAATACGTACCCTATATTCATATCTAGCTCAAAAATACTCATGTATTATAAATGCACTAGTGGACCAGTAATTAAAGGGGCTAGATTGCATTCGCGCGCTTCGGGACCGCATCGCGGTTTCCCGCTATTTGCAGATGAATTGCGATTCTATATGAGATTAACGCCGTGATAGATCTGCATTTCAATGAAAGACATCAGTTCCAACTCAAGAAGAAAACTTTGGATTTTTTCATTTTATTGAAGGTGCAGACTTTGATCCAAGTCGATGAAAGTGGGTCAATTGCATTTGCGACAATCATAAAAATGTTTGCACGTTTCTCAAGAATGTATAGATGCCAAAGAGAATGAAAGTTTGGATGGTAATTAACTGGAAAACCTGAAATGATTATTTATGGTAGTAGAAGATCAACGTAGTTTACGAAAACTAGGTGCTTAAAGAAGCTAAACACTGCAATGCTGCTGTTTCTTTGTAAATAAACTTTTATAGGCGCTTCCCTGATTTTAATCTCTCCTTTATTTATGGGTCCATTTAGAAGTCACCGGGTCTGTACAAATTTTGATTAGACAAAAATGAAGATTTATGATCACCCGTATAAAATGCTGAACTCATAAATCTGAAACGTAACGAAAACACATGGAACGGGAAGAATTTATTATGTTTTAATCTCAGAATGTAAGCTTTCCTTTTATGCACAGATACGCATAGCTTTATAAACACCTCGGCACATTTTGTCGCTTAACAGTCCAAAAATCTGTACTGCCTGATAAAACTCTAGTGAGTTAAATAAGGAGAATAAATCAGATCTAAATGAAGCAGCAAAAAAGTCTGCTAGAAATCTGTTTCGTCTTCTCTATAAACTTTCTAGAGCAGCTCAATTCTATGCCAATGATAAGAACTCCCTTTTTTTGAAAAAAAAAGTTCAAAGTGATCAGCAGCTATATTCAAATCAGTTATATACAAGAGAATTAGCACAAAAAAGCATTTATCAAAGTGGTATTTCTTTGAACTCAACAATGTAGAGCCATGAATCTCTTCACACCTGTTGGTGGACTGGGAGGCACTCATGTCACTTGGGAAGATATCGAAGAAGATTTGCAAAGGGAACTGAACACTGTGGCTACTTTTGGTCCGAACAAGACTTTTAAAACTGTAGGGGATGGAAGGGTGAGTTTAGAGAATTAAGCTCGTTAAGCTTCTTGAGAAAATTTGATCTGGACACTTTGCAGGGTTTTCTGTCCAGAGTGCTTCTTATCGATCCTGATTGGCAACATAAAGACATGGAGCTACCTGAAAAATTCATTGTCAAGGTTCTTACGCCAATTTGCCTGAGATTAGAATTAAAGATATAAGACTAAGTTCTAGATTGCTAGTCAGCTGGCCATGCTCGAGCTAACAGGAGAATTTGCGAAGAAAGGAGATATCGAAGATTCATTTAGCAAACCAGAGTTTATGGCAGCTTTGGAATACCAGCAAAAGAAGGTTTGTTATCACTTTAAAGCAGGTATTTGTGCACTTTTTATGCGCTGTAATTCCCTCCTTCAGCTTCACAACAACGAAGTCATTTTGTATGAGCATCTGAAGAGGATTCCAGAAGGGAAGCTCCCTATGATTAAGGTACCGTAACCCGCACTGTAGGACTATGACTGACTGATCAAAAACTTCTAGTTTTCAGATTTTCAGCACTAAGAAATTTTCGGAACACAATCCGGTTAAAGGATATATTGTCATGGAGTTTGTTGAAGACCTAGTACCATTGCATGTATTCAACAATGTTCCTCCACACTCTCTCAGAAAGGTAACAAACATCAATTTTCGCTCTTAAAGCCCTAAAAATAAAAAAGTTTAGGCTCTTCGAGCCAAAGCGGTCCTAGAAGCCATGTCTCTAGACTTTAGCGAAGAGGAGAAAAATGAGTTCCTAACGAATGTTTACAGCGAATTGTTTGGGGCAATCTTCAAGAAAGAGGTGAGCTTAGAGATAATTACATACATACTTCAAAAGGATTAGTGAAAGAGAGTGGCTCTATATACATAGAGCAACAGGGTAACTAAGTAAGAAAAGAAAAGAGACGCTCTGTTATAAGAAAAGGATCATCTGAACATCGAACTGTAAAAGCTGTTATACCACAATATCAAAGCAAAAAAACCTTTGTTTGATCACACATTGTGAACTGATTTTGTGAAAAATTTCGTTTGGTAAATCTGTAATCGATCTAAATCTACACCACCACAAGTTCGTGACGATATTAGTTGCGTACCATTTCAAACGTAAAGTATGATGCATGTTTTTCCTTATGCGAATGCGGTATACAGGGCTAATGTGATCCAGAGCAGCGCCCCTGTCTTGGAATTTTGATATGTGTCCTATTTAGCCAGCAATTAGAGAAAGCACAAAATTTGCATGTCGTTGAAATTTAGTACCAGCCATTCACGTGTATCCCGAGTGAAATAAATCTTGCCAACGATCCAAAAAGCTATTTTAGGAGCAAATTAGAGAGCGAAGTTCGTATGTAAATTTCTTGCATTTCGTGCATTTCTTTGTATTTTGCACACTATTTGATATTACAAGCATTTTCTAATGCAATTCTGGTTCGACAATAGATTGCGGTACACTAATGAAAGTCAGTGATGATTTACATACGAACTTCGCACTAGGACAGCCAAATGGTGGCCGGTAGCTGCGCTGCTAAAATGCAGCCGCATACGTGCGATGAAATGCAAGGAATTCGATATGTTTTTATGTGCTATCGAAAACATATTTTAGATGTTCGCAGACATGGTAAAAATATTTCAAAATTTTGCTTCGGGCAAAATGGCGGATAAAGCAACAAAAATGGGCAAACTGCTGCCAGAGATTGTGGATTTACCATGGGCTGATCGATTGGCTGACGAAATGGGTGAGCTAAACTGCTGGTGCTCCTCAATTATAAGATGCCTTTCAATGCAAATAAACTCGACTGTTCAATTGCAAAAAGTCTCTTTCCAAATTTTGAATTTTTTATAATAGAGTTTAGGCATGGAGCGTGTTCTCTGCCATGGGGATTTGTGGTCAACCAACATGTTATGGAAGCAAAACGGAGGGGAATTGGATGTGGTTGCACTCATTGATTATCAGGTCAGATAAAGTTGCATTACCACCACTCAGAAACTAGTAATGATCAGAAATTCAACATTTCATACTCTCCATCATTAAGTTAATATACCCTAATTTCACGCGTACAAGGCGCGGGGGATTTTTTTCCCAAAACCGACCAGCCCAGACAAGCCAAACTTTACAACCAAAGGACCTTATGCCTTGCTGTATATTGCTTAAGAGAATTACGGCATAAGGATCGCTTTCCGAGATAATTTAAAGCGTCTGAGAGGGGCTTAGTCGAAAAATCGAAAAAGGTGCGCCACGCGTGAAATTAGGGTAGCAACACGACGCAGAGTGCAAATCAAAGTTAGGCTACATTGACCGAACTTGGACATGTCTAAGTTGGTTGAACAATTACAGCTCATTTCAGCGTAATTTTCTTGCTATAATTATTCAAGCGTTGATTACGGAAAAACTGAGAATTTGATCTGTTTATTCCATTTGATGATGACCACTGCAACTATGTAGCTAAACAGCTAATAGCGGCAAAATTGAGCCAAAGTCTTGTGTTTCCACTTTTTTGCAAATCTCTCCCTCCTTCGTCTCGTATATATCTTGCGATTTTCTCTCGTTGTTGAAGTTTCTATTGGTAAGCTCTACATCTAATGTGAAGATCAGAGGTTATTTTCTTCAAATATTCATTCACATAGTTGCCAAAAAATAAGCGATTTACCTTCGGAGTCATAAAATCTCCCCTGATCTAGGTCTATCAATTTTAAACAGGCAAAGAATGTCCAAAAAATTTGGCACCTGTTTGGGTGCAACAAGGTATATTCCGAGCTGGGCAATCTATTTAGACAGCTCATATGGGATGCCCTGCTGTTGATCTTGTGCGACTGTTTAGTGCATGTCTTAGTGGAAAAGACAGACAAGAGCACTGGGAGGAGCTCGTCGAAGAGTTCTATGGTTACCTCAAAGAAGAGGTTGGCAACAAAGAAATGCCTTATACACTTCAGCAGGTGATCGAATCTGAACATTACGCTGTGTCACTTACAATCGTAGTTGTTTAGATCAAGGAAGCATACCTTCGATTTATGCCTTTAGGCATATTCATGATAGTAACTGGAATTGGTCCACTTTACGACGTGCTCTGCAAAAATCCTAATGAGGAGCAGAGACAAAAAGTAAGCTATAGTATGGTTGTCTAACTATGATTATAACCAGCCAATTTGCAGGGCTTGGATTTGGTCGTTGAGAAAACAGAATGTCTCTTGGACGACGTGTTTTTCTATCATGAAAGGAACAAGAATCTTACGAAACACACTTGAGATAGTCTTTTTTCGTTGCTTTCCCATGCCAGTGCTCATTAAACATAAAAATAAATTATAATACTACTCCCTTCTCAACGTTATTGTAGTAGGAAATGTGCTTGTTAGTCATCTAGATTTCGCAAGAACGAAGTGTTGGTGAAATGTTGCCAATACGTAGGGGGCTATGCTTCTCCATAGAAAATAACTATCTTTTCATTCCCCCCCCCTCCCTCCCCCCCTCCCAACATTTGAGCGAGGGTTGCACTATTGACACTTACTTAGTATAAGATTTTTTCATTGAATCCACTTGACTATGGTCACATGCCTGTTAATTACACTTAGACTGATTAGATTTTTATCGTTAGACTAGGCAACAGCTAGATATAACCGGATAAAGAGAGTAGAAGCTTTTGTTAGGTTGGCTAAAAAGTAAGTTCGCTTCGCTAAGTCGCTTTTAGCGGTTTGTAGAATTGTCACAAATCAGTTTTTGTATGTATATATGGCGTTGGAAAGAACAAACCAGGGACATAGGATTGACTCTTTTTTCTTGAGCATAATTTTTCTAATAAGGAAATGGTGCAGGAAAAAGAATGGTCAGATTTTTCTTCAAATTTCAGAAAATCATGCCCCAAAAAATGAGCAGCCTAGCCAGAGGGTGTATGTGTCCAGCCACCAAATTGCTCATCTATATGTTGACTTCGGGTTGAGAACGAAAGCTAGAAAGTCAAAGAGCGATTTTCAAAAGTTTGATGGTATAACTGCCATTTCTTGGTGTTATGACTACTTGGTATTTAAGAGTAGAGGCTTCTCGCAAAAAAAATCTTAGCTGAATAGCTGTTACGTGACTTGTTATGAAGCAATTGTTTAGCTCTGAAATTCCATGTGAAAATGAACTCAATTATTAGCCAGCCTAATAGTATACGGCTGAAGCTGGGAAGCGAAAGCATCCTATAAAGCTCATCATCGAATGTGATTATACCATCTGTCTTCTTAAAAAGGGGTTATTCGAAGATTCATTAGCACGTCCATTGCTTGGAAAAATACCACAAGCCGGATTTTAGAGCAAATCAAAATTTGACCTTTTCACTCTTTCCTTTTGTTTCGTAGTCTCTCTTAATTTTCATGATTTTATGGGTTCATGTCCATGAGCATGGTCCAAAGGCTTCAGAAATAACGAGTTGGAGCCAGTGACTCAAATATTATTTTCAATGTAAATTGTAATATTGAGAAAAATCGGGAGAAATCTTTGTATAATGTGAAGAAGTATCAATACGTTGTGACATTATACACACCGCAAGATTGAGTTAATGTGCTTTTTTTATTCGTCGCTCGAACAAACTACTAAGAATGAGAAAATGTACTTCTTTCATTCGTGGCTCCAACAAACTACCAAAAACCTTGATTAGCACACTCACAACTTTTCGACGAAAAAAAGCCTAAAACAACTTAGTGTTAACGCTAGGCAAACAGAGCGATGATGACTTCGATTTTTAATGCTGTATGCAAATTCCTAACAGTAAGGAGTGCTTTTAGGAAGGACAACACATATGAGGGTACAGCGGCTGCCATTGTTCACAAAGTGCTATGTAACCGAACGGAAACAATGCGAAAAGTAGCGCTATTGATCAGTTTGCTCTTTTTCCGCTGTTTGTTCGAGTTTGAAGTTGATTCAATGTTACGAAAAGCACAGGTCGAAGTGATGCTGCGCCTCTTTCAGGTCGAATTGGTAAGTCCATAAAATTCGCTTTTGCCGTAAAAATATGGTTCAGGCAATTCTTTCTCTTGCTGCTCTTAGAGCATGCAATATTCTACCAACTCCGCTAATATCTCAGTTCTTGGGAGCTTCAGCGGTTAGTCGGTTTGTTAACTTCATAGAGAATTTGTATTAGACGGTCAAAATATTATTAGTTTGATGCATAATTCTTGCACCAAAATAAGTACAGACCGCAATAATTTGGAATAATCCTATATGCCAAATAAGTTTCGATACATCATTAGATAGGGCAAACATAGACAAGACAGTCTACAAATATCGGCACCATCTTTGATCCACGTGAAGTTTTGAGCCAAAAACTGAAAAAACCATGCGTTTGAAAACCTAAGACCAATCAAAACAAAATTGTAACTTCGTTCAAAAAGCTTCTACAAAATTTCTTTCTCGCTCACGCGTAGACATTCCACTTAAGACATTTATCTATGCGGTTGCTGTATTTTTATCTCAGCTAGACTATGAGAAAACGAAGTTTTTCATGTTTTTGCCAAATTAGAGCTGAGATGTTCTAGCACTAACGGTTGTATAGTACATGCCGTTAGCAGTGAAACTTTACATTTTCAGCCTTCTAGAACTGCTAGTTCACGAGAAATGACGAATCTAGCTCTCCTTATCCGAATTTTTCTTGCCTAGTTGCGAATAATTCGATATTTCTCGTAAACTAGCTGCTGTAAAGAGCTGAAAATTTACACTCATGCTTCTAAGGTCCTATAGTAAACAAATGTCAGTGCTAGAACATCTCAGCATTGTCTTGGAAAAAACGTGAAAAACTTCGTTTTCTCAATTTCTAGCTGAGGGAAAAATACGGCAACTGCATAGAGAAATGTCTTATACGAATTGACAATGCATGAGCATGTTAGGAATTTTGAGGGATTTTTCTGAACGAACTTCCAATTTTTTCTGGGTTTCTAGGCGCTTGGATCTTTTTCGTTTTTGGCTTCAATCTTCGCTTGGATTAAAGCTGCTGCAAATCCTTGAGCACTATCTTGTAGAGCTAGGCTTGCGCTATCTATTGATACATCCAGTCCTATCTGGAATGTAAAATTATTCCAAATTATTGCGGTCTACAGCTATTTTGGTGCAAGAATTATGCAGCAACCTAATAGTTTGGCGCATAAACTTTGCAACTTCTCTCGCATTCCTACTTTTGGATGTATCGCTCTCATTTTGGCATTACATAGATTTTGCTATAAGCTACAAGTCTGCTCGAACCGTTCGTTTTTACCATGATAGAAAAAATGTGAAGAAATTGTTGAAAATCGTGTTTAAGACTTTTGAGCAAAAACGAAGCCCTACGCAACTTGAAATAAAAACCAAGACGGAGTTGTAGGCAGCATGTTGGTAGATTTACAAAATCTGAAGCATAAAATATTTTTTCCTTTCTTGAACCTACAACTCTCACTATAACGGCGAAATTTGGCAAGTATGGCAACATTTGTAGCTTACACTATAATCTTTATGTTACTAAAGAATGAATGCATATTCAAAAGGATAAAAGTTGTATAAGAAGTTGCATCTTATATATAAAGCTGAATGTCTGTTTGTCTGTCTGTATGTCTGTATGTCTGTCTGTCTGTCTGTATGTCTGTGTGTACGTATGTTCCGAATAGAAAATTCCATTTCTGAACCGATCCGGACCAAACTTGGCACACATACACTACGGGCCCCGGCGGGTGTCATAGGCTACTTTTCGTCATCGATCGATATCGATTTTATCGATTTTTATCGATTTTTTTGCTGAGTTCACCTACGGGGCTGGGAGTTGGCACAGGGGGGTAAGTGAGCATGGGGATTCCGAATACAATATTAGTTTTCAGAATTATCGATTACTTTTATCGATTTTATCGATTTTTTTGCTGAGTTCACCTACGGGGCTGGGAGTTGGCACAGGGGGGTAAGTGAGCATGGGGATTCCGAATACAATATTAGTTTTCAGAATTATCGATTACTTTTATCGATTTTATCGATTTTTTGCAAAGTTTGAGCTACGGGGCTGGGAGTTGGCACAGGGGGGTAATCGAGCATGGGGATTCCGAATACAATATTGGTTTTCGGGATTATCGATTACTTTTATCGATTTTATCGATTTTTTTGCAAAGTTTGAGCTAGGGGGCTGGGAGTTGGCACAGGGGGGTAATCGAGCATGCTGATCATCCCCAAGGGGGTGATCAGCATGCTCGATTACACCCCTGTGCCAAATTCCATCCCCCTAGCTCAAATTTTGCAAAATCGATAAAATCGATAGAAGTAATGGATAATTCCAAAAACTAATATTGTATTCGTAATCTGCATGCTCGATTACCCCCCTGTGCAAACTCCCAGCCCCGCAGGTCAAACTTTACAAAAAAATCGATAAAATCGATAAAAGTAATGGACGATCCTGAAAACTAATATTGTGTTCGTAATCAGCATGCTCGATTACCCCCTGTGCAAAATCCCAGCCTCGCATGTCAAAATTTACAAAAAATCGATAAAATCAATAAAAGTAACCGATAATTCTGAAAACTAATATTGTATTCGGAATCCCCATGCTCACTTCCCCCCTGTGCCAACTCCTAGCCCTGTAGGTGAACTCTGCGAAAAAATCGATAAAAATCGGTAAAATCGACATCGATCGATAACGAAAAGTGGACTGTGACACGCGCCGGGGCCCGAAGTGTATGTGTGCCAAGTTTGGTCCGGATACGGCGGAGCCGGGTAAGCCAGCTAGTTGCTTATAAAATGTCAAATGAGTTCTTTGCAGGGGATAAAGCGTTGGAGGATTGACGTTAAATGTGTTTAGTAATACTTCCAGAATTTTTCATGTAAACTGGCCCAAATTGCAAAAAAGGAACAGGAAAGAGCACGACAATATTCTAAGGAGGGTTTCCTGTTAAAAAAGAGGATCGGTGATGTCTTTTTGCTCAGGCTGTCAACTAAAAAGCAAGTTTAGCTTTTGTAAGTCGCTCTCAGGCCACTGGTCAACCGATGGACGAAGAAATTCGGGCCAGAGCGGGCGATTGGCACCAGGATTCGATAGATCCCATCTTAAGTCAAAGATGGCGCATGATTTTTTACATTTCTTGCTCTATTCCGCGCTGTTTCCATGTTCTTTCATGCGATATACGAATTTCTTGTCAATGAAAGTATTCCACGCTGCTCTGCTCATTTCCTTGAGTTTCATTCTAGGTAAAGCATGTAAAATGATGCAATGATAAATTTTTGCTGAAAGTGCGTTTTCTCTGGTAAGTAACAGATGTATTTATTA